CTAAGATGAAACGTTAAATTTTCAAGAGAGTTTCCAGCAAATATTCAGAAAACATTGAGCGATTGGCAAGGTTGACATAGTGGGTATGTGTGTCTTCTATTCATTCATATTGTATTTTTCAAGCGATGTCCCACGCTTCTTCTTATGTATTGAAAGAGAAGATATTTCTGTGTAAGACAAGAACTTTCTGTTACACTAGATGAAGGTAGAACTTCTTTTTTCACCATTGCAATTACATTGTCGATGAGTGGGGACCAATTCTTTTTGTTTTTTATTTCGCAACAAAATCCGACTTGAGAAAACAATATAAAAGCTTCACTGAATTTCATTGTAGATGTGAGTGTGGGTAAGATTATTGTTTTCTTTCATACTCACGCTATATCTGTTAATAGAAATTTTTCTTTATTTAATGCGATAATAGCAAATCCATTTTGGCAACAAAGTGTTTGCTTGACTATATCATCTTGTGTTACAAATAATACTGCATAATTCGTTGATGGGCACATATTGCATCATTTTTAACGACTGTTTTTCTTTTTGTTGTTAGATCATGTAGTGATAAAAAATTTTGTTCAATTATGAGCAAGGAAAACAAAATTTTTCTCGATCACTTAATAACAATGAATTATAATTGCTTTAAGGATGTAGTAAACATTAGTTTGTATTATTTTTGTTTTAATAACTGACTCTGGCAATATTTTAGATATTAATGAGTCTCATTGACAACACAACAGATGTTGATGAACTTGAAATTTATTTAAGAAAAAGAATCGAAGCAACATTTAAGGCTAATGATTATAAACGTAAGTAATATATAATATCACTACTAATTACATTAGAAAACTTAAACTATTTAATTTTTAGCCCGAGTCGAAGATTGTAAACGATTAAAAGCATTTATTAAGGATGTTGATAAAGACAAAAAAAAGTCATTTTAATTGAAAAATGAGTCAATATAATATCACCAAGTCGAACAAACACGGTCGTAAGCGACTGTATACGGAAAAATACGGGTAAGTGTGGGTGCAGTTTTCTTCCTCCCCCAATTGCACACCCGAACAAAATTTTTACTGTTATGTTTTCAAAAATGGATCTTTATGTATTGCACCAAAACGAGATTGCCACAAAGTCTCTTTGTAGAATGATGATTTTGTATGCGATAACAGAACGACTTTTTTGCAGAAAAAATAAAGGTTTACACATTTTTGTGTTGAAAAAGCATCTGTTTTCAATTCGGAAGCTTTAACCAAAATTCAATTAAGATTGACTGTTGAAGGGTGAATTCGTTGACGATTGCATCGAACGACGAATATAGTATTTTTTACATGAACCCCGAGTTTTCGCCATTGATGCCAAAAACGAACATCTAATGCTGCAACAATTATTGAATCACATGCTATTTCCATAAAACTAAGTAGCATAGCGACATTCATCACATTCTGTTGACGAAGTGACAGTTGAAAAAGAATAACATATGGTGACCAAAGTACACCCCAAATAAAATAAAAACAAAGAAATTGAATGACTAACGAACGATGATATTTTTCACAAGCTGAAACATGATGTTGTGTCCCTTGTAAAACTGATATTAAGTGAACATGATGAATACTAGCATAAATCATCAGCATGTTCAAGAACATTGGTAATGCATACGCGAAAATTGTATTGAATATTTGAACATATATATTCGTATAAAATACTTCACAACTACCTCTAATAAGATATTTTATCTGAGTCCAACCAACAAGAAATTCACCGATTAAGACAACTAATGGTATTAAATAGATACAAAATTGAGTGAAGATCAATAGTTTCATATGCACGTGATATACATTTCGATTGTATGCTATTTGTACATAACGACATATATTCAAAGCTAATAGAATATATATTTCAGTTATATTGAAATAATTATCCAGTGTTGCTTCAAAATAGCAGTTAAATAAAACCCATTCCCTGCTTGGTTGGCATTCCGTAGATGTTGTGGGAATAATATAACTAAAGAAGAAGCGAAAAAGAAGAAAAATATCAGTGAAGAGATACGAATAGATCCATAGGAATATTTTTTGTCGAAGAGGTGAAGAAAAACTAATTTGAAGCCAAAGTATCAAATGCATAAATGAAACAATAATATAAGCATAAAGTTGAGGTTTTGTAGTGTCAATAATAGCTTGGGTCCACAGGAGAGGTTTTGAACATGTCATGTTCGTATCATTGAACAGCAATGTTGTTATTTTTACGCTATCCATCTATAAGAAGAGATCTCTGCTATAAAAATGACAGTCGCTAGAAAAGCCTCTGACGTATGTCATCCTAATGATGGTAAGAATTGCTTAATGAGGGTAGAGATACTTAGGGCATACCAGAAGTAATGGCGCAATAATCTTATTTCCTTATAAAAAGTTTGAAGAGATTTTCTCTTTTTATGCAATGATAGAGAAAAGGATGCTATATTTTTCTATGCTTATTCATCAATATTCAACTAATATCATACTTATAAAATTTCCAAAAAAAAACAAAAAAGAGCTGCTTGTTATGATATGTCATGATTATATGAATGCTCATATTTATTGAATAAGTTTTGATTGAAGGAAGATAGAGAACTACGACTTCCACCGTTGGAAAGAGGAGATGAAGATGCATCGAATCATATATTACTTATTTTTCTAACCGGTTTTTTCTAAGGTTTTCAGTTGACCTTTTAAAGAACAAACCTTTCTCACGAGTTGTTTATAATTAATTTTCCATAATCAGGTTCACATTCAAACCGCTAATCAAAGCTCTGTAAACTGTCAAACTGAGATGCTTCAATTTAATTTTTCATGGATAATATGTACTCTAGTCGAACCTCTACCACGATTTTCAAGCAACCTTTTTACTTTTTACTTTTTTTCATAAAAAATGCATTTTTCACACGGTTAGTAAATTGAATAAAAAAAATCTTCAGAAATCATATTAGAAAAATCTTAATGTATAATTCGATGCGTCTTCATCTTCTCTTTCCAATGGTAAAAACCATAGTTCTCTACCTTAGTTCTGTGAAGGATTATTCAAAAAATACTCACCAGAATTCATGCTACCATCACACATGCGAACGAAATAGGTCTTATCAAAATTTTATAACTATGAGATTAGTTGAATAGCGTTGAAATAGCAGAGAAAAAAAGTGCATCGTTTTCTCTATAATTGCACCGGAAAAGAAAATTTCTTCAAGCTTTCTATAAACAAATAAGGTGATGGCGTCATTACCTGTAGTATGCCCTAAGTATATTTTCTAATTAAAAGCCATATTATGAAATTGTTGGGGATCAAAGAGTTTTTCATAAAATTTGATCTCATTAAGGAATACCAATGAAAGTTGTTTGACAATTTGCTTTCTGTGTCGAGACGAGATTTAACAAGGATAATTGGAACTGGTAGATACAGTTCGCTGAACCTAGACGCTTATTTCGCAACGAGATGTTCGATGTTTTATAAGCAACTTCACTCGATTTATATATAACTTATATGTAAGCTACTAACGAAGTCTTTATTTAAACTGATGAATATAACAAACTAAATATCATTTCATTCTACGATCGTAGACCCTGATCGAGGAATGATGCACTGTGAGTAGCATAAACTCTTTTAATTAAATAATATCTCGAAAAATTTCTACTTAAGAGAGGGTCCATGACAGCACCAAGGAACCGAAGCACTCATCAAAGTTTAAACTATTGATTTTTTATGTGCATTCGAAAGGACAAAGTCTGAAACTAATAAACCTAAATTTTTAGCTCATTTGAACATTTTATAGTTAAGTTAGCCTGGATCGACTTGTAGCACCGTCTACCTAATATCAAGAAAAGCAATGATGAATCATCTCATACATGTCTGGTAGTATTACATTACCAGGAATGAGAGAATTTTTTCATGTTATATACTAAATGATAGAGTATGGATAGATGGAAAAAATGAGCTAATCGAAATATTGTATATCATTCCTTTAGTGGGCTAACTATCATTCTATGACGTCAGACTATTGGAGGTATATCTGCTGCCATTTATAGAAATCCTCAGGGCTCAGACTGGATTTTTTATATGTTGTATAACTTTAGATTCTCTACAAAATGGTGAAAAATTAGGAAAAAAAGCGTCGAATGGATACAAAAAGTAGCATATACTGCCAGTAGCAAGGTAAGCAGCCTCGAGGAATACGACTTCGAGCATATTTCAAGGATCTGAATTTATGAAAATTTTCACCTGGTACAATTAAAGACTCTATCCTGGATCATTTCTTCGAAAAAAGAAAAACATTTTCGACCCTCCCAGATCCCTGAAAGAGAGTAGGAAAATGTCGGAAAAAAATTTTTTCGTGTAATCGGAAGATATGATCAATCAGAAAAATAGGGCTAAGAATGCTGATCACAAATATATGCTAGAAGTTTATTATTATTTGTGATTTAATGGTATATGATAGGCGGCTTG